TTTGATTTGATTTGTGTTTTCTTTGTTTTTTTTTTAGATGTTTAGAGGTGTGACAGGCATGGCTTTGATTAGGTAGGTTTAAAAAAAAAAACAAGACATGCAAATTCATTTTACGGTTTGGAATATTCTTAGCCTGGGCAAACCATGCAGTGTTTGATATACACACATATATGACATATATTATAGAGCTAGAATATTTAGTACAGATGCTTGTTAAGGTGTGAGGTAATTGTGTGCAATTCTCTCATTTATGCATGTGTGACAAACTTAACTTTTCCCTTTTACATTAATACCATTTGTTAAAGGCTTAATGCTTATCAGTGTCAACTACTTTTATACATTCCGTCAGGGAGGATATCGATACATATATATGTGTGATAATGGCATATATATATAGATATACATATATATATGTGTATATATATGTATATGTGTGTGTGTGTGTTTTATTTACCTTGTTGATTTACAGTGGCTCAAAAATACACATCCCTGCAAAAATGCCAGATATTTGTGATTATATAGACATGAGGATTTGATTAATCATTTCAGACTTATTCTACTTTTAATGTGGCATTTTTTTACTGTACCAATAAAGTGAAATAAAAGCAACCAAAATTTTTTAAGCAAGATGTAAAAGGAAAAAAAAAACTAATCCGACAGATTCCCCTTAGATTAAAACTTTGTTGAAGCAACTTCAGTCCTTTTCCTGCGTTCAGTCTTCCTAATTTTACACAAGTGAGTTCTATTAACCTGAAATAAAGCTTAGCAGTCCATCTAGGATTGTGCTTCTATGTGTTCATTCGGTTCCGTTAGGTAAAGCTATAGTTCATTGAGGATTAACGAGATCTTGATGTAGACAGTTTTCAGAGAGGAGGTAGTTGAACAATCCTACAGCGGTAAAGTTATTTACCAATGCCAGAATGAACGGAAGCTTACATCCAAGCTAAGAAACAAAGTATTTCATTTGAAAATAATGGAATTCAAGATGAAAGAACCAAGTTTGACTAAAACAAATCTGTTGCAGAGAGCCGTGCACAGAAGATGTTGATATAAACTGAGACGTTTAAGCTTGGTAGAGGGAACTTGTGATGCTTAGTCAAGATACGGGGAACTAATGGAGGCTGAATGCTGAAACTGAATTGAAAGATGTTACAATAAAGTACTTGATTTTAGTTTCAATGTTCTATTTTACATGCTAACCTTCCAGAAACCTGACATTTTCACATGGATGTGTCCTCAATTGACTAATCTGTTGTTTGTCCCCTTTTTCCCCCTCTTTGCTATTGTCTTTTGTTTTTCAAATGAAGTCGCTCGTGCAGCACCAAAGACTGTAATTCGTTTATTCAGCAAGGTAGCTATTCTTAGCTATTCTGTTTGCATAGACCTCAGTTATACTGTAGTTGTATTTCAAGGTTTTGTTTCAAAGAAAAAAAAAAAAGTTCTATTTAAAAAAAAAAAAAAACATGGAAAAAAAAAGTTTTGTCTAGCTTATTGGGCAATTAATGAGTCGTATCATTTCTTGAATGTATCATAGATAAGCTGCTATATGATGATTGCCACTTCAATAGCTGTGAAATTAGGTGATTTCGCTCTGAGTTTAAACTTAGCATTTTGTATAGGTCCCTAATTATCTGAACTAGAAGTGGTTTTGATTTCTGTGTTTCGTTCATATTTGGAGTGTCACTGTAACTACTGTACTTGCTGATGATGAACATTAGTTGCATTTGTTGTTATTCGGGGTGCGTGTTTTTTTCAGCATCAGTATTTTATCCTTATTAACCTCTCGGGCTCGTCACTGCATATAAACGATGTATCGATGTAACTTAAGTTTTGTATGTTTCCATATCAATGTTCTGTACACATCTGACGCTGTAGCTTGCAGGACTGATTTAACTTTCTCATTGCACAAACACCTTGTATCACTTTTTAGTGAGTTGTGGGAGCACTGTGAGATGCCAGAACACAAACAAGAACAACAAAAGAACAGCGTGTCTCAGTCACATCGGTCACACTAACCCACTTCATACTAAGCTCTTCCACATCTATTGAGGCCTGGAAAACATTTGATTGAGATAAGATACTTAAATTTTTACCCCCCCCAAAATGTTTGTTTGCTCCAAAGCAGTTTTTCACAACTTTTTCTTCTTGTCAAAACGATTCCAGGTATTTACAGCAAACTGTTTTCTCTGTTTAATGTTGCTTAGAATATCGCTTTGACATTCTAACCTGCCTTGCGTTCAGATCGCTCCCCCTTTATGAGTGACTCGTATCAAAGTGTTTTTGTTAGTGCTAGGCGGTGGCCGTTGTTACGTGTCCTTTATTGAAACTGAGACAGTGTAAGCAGCACTGTGCATGTTCCTTGAGATCCAGACCGTGAAAAAAAAGACAAAAAAAAAAAAGGCAGAGAATCCCAAGATTATTTAGGTAGCAACCGCTTTAGAGAAAAGACGGAGGGAACAAACATTTCCAGTAGGACTTCATCTTAGAGTCATTTGACTCCAGATCTATTAGAAAGGAGCGATGAAGCCTCTGTGTGACCACAGCCTGCTAATAAAACCCCACAGTCGAATTATATGATGCGCAGCAATTTTTCAGATAGTCACTCTGGCTGAACAGCAGATGCAATACTTTCCATTGTGCGTTCATTGCACCACCAAGTGTTCTTAGATAATCCCCATGCTTTACATCACCTTGCACGATCACATGCACACTTTGCTTCACCTCTGTCTTCTGGCATGCAGATCAGGGCTAAGTTGGAGCAACCAGAGCACAACTGATAACACCGATCTTTTAAAATCAAAGGAGCTGGAGTTCTTTGTTATATTTTGTTGTGTTGATTTTGTGCTCTGGATGGAAACTCCTTTTCTACATTTAAACAATAATGCTGATACAGCTTTATTTCTCAAGAGCTTTTTTTTTTTTCATGGCTGTATGTTTTGCTGATCACATGGAAATGTCACTTTCGGGAAAGAAATCTTATGATGATAAGGCATGAATCGGACGCATTAGTGCTAGAGATAGGTCGCATGTGAAATGTAATCTGTGTTTTTCTCTCCCTCAAAGCTTTTTCACCAGCAACGCGCCTGCATCAACTCTCCTTGTTCTTGTCACGCAAACGAATGGATGCAAGAGGAGAGAAGTTTTCCATTTTGTTTTAAGTCATGAAAAACTGTTGTTTATGGGATTTGGACGATTCCAAATAAAGTTTAGCATACAAAATCTTTCAAATTCCTGATAAAATGAGTGATTTTGACCTGAAAATCCTTTAGAAATCTTACTTCAGGGTCTCTTGTTAATCTTCATGTGCTACTTTGTAAATCTTTGATTTGACTGAAAAAGGTGGTTTTCCTCCAGTGCTTATTTTCAGTCTTCTGGTCATCTCTGTCAATTTCAGAGTTAATTCACACTGCAAGTTATGGACTCACCTGTTTTAGTTTTTTGGTGGCTTTGGTTTTATGTTTTGTTTGCTTTTTCCTTTCTTTTTTTATTTTGTGCTACACTAGTTTGCCATGTAGCAATTGCACTGTGCAATATTTACAGTATGAGGACTGGGAAAACTAACTCTATGGATGTGATGTCTCTTATACAGTTTGCGATAGTGTTTCCTCTCTAGTTCTCAGTGATTTAGGTGTGACCAAGCCTTCTCTACTTTGTCACATTAAGCGGGTTTCCAGGTGACTCTTTTGGTGAGTGTCAAAATAAGACTTTATTGTGTATTATTGTTAAGATTCACTTTTAATTAAAAAAAATATATTGATGCAACTACTTTTGTCTTCTGACTGTTTTTCACAGTTTATTTTATTAAAGATGGGAGCAATGAGGTTGACGGGACAAATAACCCTTTTCCATTGCCAAAAGGCCAGGCTTATCAAAGCCTGAGTAGCATTTCCATACACAATTACCTGAGTCATTTTACTTTCACACGGTTTACCCTGGACTTTAGCTCCAAACATGAGGCATAGTTTTTTTTATAATGAAGCAAAAATGTAAAGTTAGCCAAGTTTATTATCAATCATCCATTTTCTGTCATGCTTATCCCAAGCATGGTCGCAAGGGGTTGCCTATCTCCAGCTGAGTACACCCTGGACATGTCGCCACTCTATCGCAGGGTAACACAGAGACACACAACACAAACGACCATTCATAAACACTCACACTTAAAGAGAATTTAGAGAAGCAAGTTAACCTAACCATCATGTTTTTGGACTGAGGGAGCCAGAGTACCCGGGGAGAACCCACACATGCACATGGAGAACATGCAAACTCCATACTCCTGAGAATCAAACCTTCTTGCTGCAAGGCAGCAGTGCTACCCACTGCACTATTGATCAACAAAGTTTACTGTCAAGAATTGAAATATAGTGTATGCATTTAGTCTTGAGAAGAAAAAAAATAATAATTTAATCTATGCAGTACAAAATAATTTAAAAAAGATGGTACAAATACGTGAACATTGACAGCATATTCCAATGCTGAAGTAGTTAACATGTTAGCTGAAAGGACTCATAAAAAAAACAATAACAAAATAAAATTTGGAATTTAACAAATAATATAACCAAATAATAATAATCCAAAATTAATTTACTATAATTTCTTAATAATAATAAATATTATTGTACTTTCATAACAATCAAAAGGTTCAGTACAATAGTAATATTATCTGTAATGTCAGTAATTTGTTATCTTTTTATTTTTATTTTAATACTAATATGAAATTATTCCAAAATCAACCTCCATACCTGCAGGAGGGTGAAGCAACTTTTATAAGCCAATGCTGCCCCCGAGTGGAGTTGAAGAGGTACAGCAGCTACTGATATAAACCTCTTACTTGACAAACAATGAGATTTCAGTTCAGTTTTAATTGTAGCTGAGTTGAAAATGTCGTTTTTGTTGTAATTGCGGATTGTTAAGTATAGTTAACTTGATAAATAAACAAGACAAGCAAAGAAATGTTTTAAAATATATAAGTTGGCTTTTAGTTCCCCCTTACAGCCAGCAGAGGGCGCCATGCAGACAGGTCAGCTTTTCACCTTGTAAGAAGCTATTTTGGTTCAGTCTGGCCAAAAGGGTAGTCGACCTAGATGATACAGCCTCCTGCTGAGCGTGGAAACCTGCTCACATTGGTGACTTAATGCCCCCCCCCCCTCCCGCACACAGCTCAGAGACGCCTCACTTCGAGCGGCTAAAAGCCAAACCGATGGACAAAGTGAGAGCGCCTCTCTGCGCCATAGGATGATGCTGGGTGGACCAAGCGCAGCGAAGCTATAAGGGAGCGCTCCTTAATTTCCCTTCAACGCCGCGTCCCTCACTCCCCCTCCCCTCCCCCGGGTCCATCTATCCAGCTCCGGACCCACGGCGTATGGACCGTGTTTCCCCCCGTTCACACACTTGGATTTATCCAATGCAATATTTACAAGCCAAACTTCAGCAGCTTGTCCACTGGATATGGCTCCCAGTGTGAAGAGTGATGGGCGGGTTGGTCATCCCGACGCACCGGGAGCCTGCGGGGCAGACTGCGATGATGGATGCGCGCCGCGCAGGAGGAGAGCCGGAGGAGACACAGGGAGGAGGAGGAGGTGTTTGAGGAGCGGACTGCGAGCCGGAGCAGCGGGGATGTTCGCAAACCGCATGCTGTCTGCGGCTCTGATTTCTCTCCTTGTCCGGTGCGCTGTGGCAGCAGAGGGTAAGCTCACCGCCGGGCTATGCGCTCCGACACGCTGAGGCACTCGCTGATTTGTTGCACCAGCGTCTTCCTGCATTAAACTTGCTGTGCATGTGGCATCTACTAAGAAAGGGGTAAAAAAAAAAAAAAAAATGCAGACGGGTTGGAAAATGGATCTCTTGTTCCACACATGCAGCGTTTTGTAATCCACTGCAGGGTGCAGATTCCCGGGCTGTGCGGATGGAGCTGGATGAATACCCTAATAAATCGTTTTCTTTATATACAGTAGGGGGAAAAACATTGGATCGTGTAACTATCTCAGTGGGTCTTGCATCTGCTGTAAGATAATAATGCATTGCAATGCATTATTGCAGTGACTGACCTATTGACTGGATACAATGCATTTAACGACACTGACACATGACAATATTTCAGATCCTGGTGATTCAGTTCTGATTCTGCCTATCTCTCTACTGCACCTGCAGACATTTAACTTCTTTGTCTCACTAATCTGATTGCACTGATAACACACAGCTCCAGAAGCTGCAATCAGAAATAGCCATTCAGCCCCAATCCTACTTCACTATCCTGTTGTAGTGCTGTAATTGTTCCATTTAAATTATTTCCACTACAGAGTATATTAAATAGTGTCATTTTCAGTAATGAGCTGCAGGGAGTTATTCTGGAAATGCAATGCATTTGCAGGGCAGTCTGTTTTCAGAGCATCTGGGACAGCACTAATGACACACATACCCAAGCCCTTAGTGGCTCTGTTTGTCTCAGTGTGCATACGAGACATTTGAGGTAAGCCATTCTGACTTTGGTGCCCTTCATCCGTCAACATTTTGAGCAAGCCTTCTAGTGTAAAAGACAGTTTCTCCCTGCATATGCAGATTTGGCAGCCTCACATCCTGCTCATGCAATTCTTTCTGCCACTTCAGCACGGGTGGCCCTAAAGGTGTCTGTGGGCAGCCACGGCCGAAAGGAGAACAAAACAAGACGGTCCATTTCAGGTGCCAAACAAACAGTGGCTCCCTCACTGTTCCCCAGGCTGCAAACTGTGGTGTCACGGCTGTAGTCTCACCTCCTGCTGATGCATGGCTACAGTACTACAGTCCCCTCGTCATCCTCCTCCATTCCCCCCATCTCTCCCTCTCTTCCTCCTCTTTGCAGTCAGCACATCCATTCTTAAACACAAGTGCAGCAGCACCTAAACATCTAAATATTTGGTGACAGTAGCATTGAAGTCCTTTTGATATTCACCTGACTCAAATTCAAGGATGTCAAATCTATGCAACAAATGAAAAAAAAGGGATTGTTTCAGTTTTCAGGGCAATGAATGCTGGACAGAAAAGTCTTTATTGAAATTGAATTGAGAATGATTTATAATCTCTGTTAAACATTTTTTTTAATCATGGATCTTTAAGAAAATGCATTTCTTAAAGTGTATGGGATAGCCTATAGTCTGTTATAACCAAAGGGGAAGATACTTTAAACTTAAGAGTTTTCTACATAGTCTATCTTTCTTATTTCTGTAACTGAAATATTGTCTTTTTGTCAGTCAAAAACAAAGTATATCACTCTTAAATAGCTACATGCTTTTCCATTTCCTTCCTGTTGAGTTCTGTGTATTCTGTACCCAATGAACCTTCAAAGGACAGAGAGGGTTAACATTTTTGTACAGAGGACCAAGACAGTCAGTGGAAAAGAAAAACACGCATTTCAAATCTAACATTTAAATCATGTGACGTTTCTGGTCTCAGAGCCACTGATCTCTATTTATTCACTGGATTGGTGATAGGCTGTTGGTACTACAGGGTGCTGTGAAGTCACCAGCCGCCAAATTGGTACTCCCTTGTTAGACTGCTCAGAATGTAAACAATACGAGCACAACAGCATCAAACTACGAGAATGTTCTCACTTTCACGGGGACTTAAGACTTTTAAAATGAAGATAAAATTATCACTTTGACACACACTTGCTGTTTCATAGCATCAGTAGATTACTGTAATTTAAGGTAAAAAAATAGGCACATCACATTGCACAGTCAGTATGAAGTCCAGGAAGTATATAAATCATGTATTATAAGATTTACAAACCCAACAAAACCAAATTAGTGTGTTAATAGAGCATAATTAAACTGCAATAAATTGATTACGTACATGTTATATATATGTAGTGATTAAATTGTTATGGTCATTACATTACAGGCATTTTTATGGCGGGACTCTGTCAAAGTGGGGTGTACCAAGATGGCGGCAGGTGACTTCAGTTTTTTCGGTGTATCAGCAATCCAATGAAAAAAACAGAGATCAGTGCTTAGTGTAACAGAACCCTGGACCCAATAGTCAGCAGACTATATATAAACTATATAAGTTTCAAACAAGTTTCTTTAAATAACAAAAAGAGGAAGACGGAAACTCCTCGGAGTGGTTCTGGGGTTCTCTGTTGAGACAGGAAACTTGGATTAGTGACAAGAATGATGAGTGAAGGGAATACAAAAAGTCACTGACTTGGTTGAGAGTTCAGTACGATACTGAGAGAGGAGAAACCCGGAGGGAGATAGTCCGCCGCTTGCGGTCGTTACAGCTTCAGAGTGCAGAGTGCGGGCGAGCTGGCGCCAGTTGACGCGGAGCAACCAACAGTGCCCAGTAGGGACAGTAAGGGATAATCCAAAGCCGAAATCCAGTCCAGAACAATTTCAGTAACCAGGTGATCAGAGAGCCGAAGAGGTATCCAGGGAGAATCAAAGCCGAGGTCAATAAAACAGTCAAAGTTGGGTAACCAGCAAAATCCAGGCAGTCAGACCAAAAATCAAACTGAGCAGAACAGACAGGGAAAAAGGCAAAAACCGAGAATACATGATCAAAAAGCCGATCACAATATAACAACACAGACTACTTACTATGAACTCTAGAGTTACTAACACCGAGGCAGCTTGAGGCAGGTGGTTAGTACAGTGAAGACGAATTTGAGCAGGATAAGCCGTAGAGCGAAGCCAAACACGAGGTCGGGAACATGGTCAATGGTCAGAGCCAGGAGGACCTTCCAGGACAGAGTCAGGTTAGTTCCAGGTTTGATTCACAGAGCAGCAAACAGGCTGGATGAGGGCAGGCAGGCTCGGTAGTCAGGAAACGAATTTGCTCGGTACACAACTGGCAGAGATCAGGCAGGTACTCAGGTCAGGCGGAAGCTGGGAGACCGGTCAGGCATTCAGAATTAGACGGGAACAGACAGGCTCAGAAGTTGGCAGGTCAGGATCAGGAAGTCGGAACAAAGAATGCTGGAATAAGTCTCACCAATGGCTCGAAATAATCTGGCCTTGATGACTGATCTAAAGGCTGATTATATAGTGACTAATGCAGGTGGATCAGATGAGCGAGTAATGAGAAGTGGGCGGAGTAAGCAGGTGTGTGAAATGAGTAATCAGATCAGGCATCAGTGCTGAGATCATGACAGAGCAGCTTAATTGCATTTTAAACATCAAATCTATTCCAGGCTTCTTCATTTGGGTCAGAACTCAATGCAGATGATCGATGATGGCAACATCCACTCTGATGCAGAGCTGGTAGGCAAACTGCAGCATATCCAATGATGAGCTCACCAGGGGGCAGAGACGGTTAGGGACCAATCTTTTAAAGGTCTGCATCAGATGTGAGGTCAGTCCTGTCAGCCTGTAGCTGTTTAGGTTTTTTGGGTGTGTGGCATTTGGTAAAAGTAGCCCAGAGTCAGTCTTCTACAGTGATGGTAGTTTCGCCAGCTCAGCTATGGAACTTGTATGCCATGTTGACACACAGTTCACAGCACATCGAGAGCTTGGAGCTGATACCATCTGGACCAATAGAGCTGTGCACCTTTATCTTTTGAAGTGTGTACCACACCTTAAGTCTTGAGAGGGAAAAGATTCTCAAAGGAGTGTTTGTAAATGGATGAGAGTTAATAGGTGTGGCATTCACAAAAGAAGAAGAAGCAATTATCTGCTATGGTTGATATCATAGGCAAGATACTGTGTAGAAAGTTAGAAATCCTGGTCCATTATGCACTTATCACCCCCAATCTAGTTTTGATTAGACATTGGCCACTATTTTGTAGCTCAGTCTTAATACCACTAACACTGACTGTGGAATATTTAGCTGCAAAGAAATGAGACGACTGAACTCATTGCATGAGTAGATTAATCTGAGCTCCTGGAAATTATCACATATTCCACAACTCTTTAGAAACAGCCGGCATGCTTAGGTGGATGATTTTATATACCTGTGGTCACTGAAGTGGTTCGAAACTCCTAAGTTAAATTGAAGCTTACTCAACTTTTTCAGTCACAAAGTAGGCTGAATGAGTTTTAGTTATAGTTTGAGGACTTGAAGCAGAGAAGGCCACCTGGCATATGCACACTCCTACAACCAGAATCTTACAACTGAGTATGGGTGCTGACAGTTTTAGTGACCTCATAGAGGTCTTGATAAAAAACTTTGACCCTTCCGCCATTGCAAATCACCCCTTTTCTGTCCAAAAAAATAATTGACGGTAAGCTCAAGGGAAAACTGAAAGCATTTCCCAGTTGGACAGTATCAATATTTTTTTACCCTTTCTTACTTGTGAATTGACTTTTAATGCATCAAATGACATGCTTTGTGGTTTCCCTACTTTTAATGTCTCTACCTAGGCTTTTTATTGTGTTTGTGCAGAGCATTACTATTGCCTTTTTTTCCTTTCCCATGTCAAGATTTTTATGGCTTCCAAGAATTTTAATGTTTTAGTAAAAAAAAAGAAGATGGTGACTCACTATTTCTCAGATGACCTGCCCGCCTAAAGATATTTTATGTTAATTTCTGTTGGCTCCTGCAAGTTCTTGCAGTTGTAAATTGTACAGCAGTTAATTTTGTGTTTATAAACCTGTTAAGAAGTCTTAAGTTGTTTTAAATGGCTTGTTTATGTGTGTGATTGACTTGTCCACCACAGTTTTTGATTTATTTTTGCGGGTTTGATTTGACATTCACTGGAGGGTTAAACATATAGCT